GTTGATTCTTGACACAAAATTTAATTTTTATATCTTTATGTTTGAAGCCTGAAATGTGGCAAAAGGTTGAAAGGTTCAAATACTCTGTATTTACAGGGAGAAATCAGTGTACAGACTACAGAGTGAAGATGTACAGAAGGTTTGGTTGTCTCCACACAGGGTTGGTCATCTGCACATGAACACAGGTTGGTCTGGTCATGTGGCGCAGATGTGGCTAATTTGCATAATCTGGCGTTGGTTCCCTTGTGCTGGTCTAGTCAGCTTGTGAGCCGGTGTGTTTGGACCTGTTATGTTGACAGATGATGTATACTGTTCAGATTTGTAATCACTGAACTGGAATGTGACCTTCCCTCATTGTAATTTTATATTAACATGAATATGCAAATTTGCGTCCCAAGATGGTTTTCGAATTTGCATAGTTACATCAGCTTTGAATTCTGTAATGTAATTAAATCCAAAGCTCAGCATGAAGGTTTGATGCAGTGATGTAGATGGGGAAAGATATGCACATATGCGCACAGACAGCTGAGGTAAAAAAGCATCATGGCGGAGGCAAACCTCAAACTTCCCGTGTCTTTGTTACTGCTTGTACAGCAAAACAGCCATCCAAAAGAAAGTTCCTACAAGAACGGAGAGAGACCAAGCGTTTGAAAGACTGGGAGAAATGAGCATGCGCATGAGTGGGAGGGGGGTAGTGGGGGGCAATAGTTTCGTGAGTGTGGGGAGGGGAGCAGAAAGAGAGAGGGCAGCGCTTACAAACTGCTGCTTCAAAGTCACAAAGTGATTTAGTCCAGCTTTACAAAAGAAAGGACCACCCTCACTCAGCCAATCATCTCTGAGCCCAATGAGTCAAACAGTGACTCACATGACTCTTCAAGTATGCAAAAGAGAGCATGTTTTTGAATAAGATTAAAACCGCACGAGTCTTCCCAATGGAAAACACGACATGCGTTTTTTTAATAAACTGAAGTTACGTCGCCGCTGGGTGGAGCAAGACCGGTCACAGCAGCAGAGGTGGACCATCCGCTGGGTGGAGAAGGACAGGTCACAGCAGACGAGGTGGAGTAGCCGCTTGGTTCGGACCATTTTCTCTGCTCTTGTCCAAAGTAAAATGCTGAATGCTGTGTTAGCATTTTTCAAAAAGTTAGCATTCCTCCGGTGGATTTTTGCCTTATCCGCTTGTTTCGGAATCCTCAGCCAGAGCAGTCTGCACTGTACTGCAGCAACATTTCAGGTAGAATAAAGCAAGAAAAAAAACAATAATAAAGCACAAAAAACAACAGTTTCAGAGCTACTTTGAAATTGCTGTCGTTTTCAGCTCATTCAAAAGCAATATACTGGTTCCACATCGCTATACCTCAGTGGTCACCATAGCAACACCATACTTTGAATGTATTATATTATTTACTAGTGTACATTCATTTGGGTTGTATAGAAGAATTTCCCATACACCTACAGACTTTATATAACAGCAGTATGTGTTCACGGAGGTGCTCCATACGTTTATTTAACTATTAGACGGTACTTCCGCATCATCGAACACGCTCAAAGCAGTTGTATACAATCACGGGAGCATGAGAACGCATGTGTTCACAAGCACAAAGTCCCCCATTGTCAACCCTGGTTTAGTCCTGGTGTAGCTCCGGTATTTTCAGTCTGCTCGCTCAGACCGCTAATGTCCCCGTGACCACTTTGTGGCTCTCTGATTGGTCGCTGAGCGTCCTGAGGAAATGCTCAGCAATGTTTAGCTCCTGCGTGCGTCAATTTTCTGCTCCTGCGCCTCTGCTACGCCTTTGCCGCGCAGTCCGTGTGTCTCTACCGTGCCTGCATCCCGAGATGCACATGCAGTTCCACGCTCGAACGCGCAACACCATTGACTTTGCATTGAAAGTCACCGCAACGCATGATCCAGTATGAACGCGGCATTAGACGGCTAACTTAAACGGATGGTCCACAACTAACAACTTAGACATGGGTTGTATCTGATTGGTCATAATTCGCACATGTCTCTATGTGCACAAACAACGCCACCTAGCTGGAAGAGGGCTAGGACCTCTTTAAAAGTAAGTTAAAAAAATATAATAGAATATAATATTGAATGCAGTGCAAACAACCCAAAGACAATAAAAAGTGAATAATTTATTATAAAAATAAAAAGACGATGAATGATAAAAAAAAAAAAAAAAAGGTTCAAAAAAAGGCTAAAAGTCCTCAGAACATCAGAGCGGGGGCGGACACGGTAGACGAAGTTTTCGGCGCGCTCAAGCCCCGGTGATCCAAGATGGCGCCCTATTCAAATGAATGGCTTGTGCTCAGTAGCGCATGGGACTTCATGGAGACCGGGAGATTAGCTGAACTCGCCTAAATCGTCTGGTCCTCCCGGTTCTGCGCAATGGATTAGTGCAACGCATTATGGGACAAATCTCCCATCATGCGTCGCGCCATGATGGGAGCCACTTGTCCTGTGGGGCTTTTCATGCACGCGCACAGAGGGGCTCGACCACGCTCTGACCAATCAGAGCTGATCATCAGAGCAGCAGAAGAGCGGAGCCAGAGCAGGAAGGCAGGGAGAAGAGTTTGTGGCAGCAAAGTGTGGATTTAAAGAAAACCGAAGGATTTAAGAAGAAAAAAAGTTCAGGATGACAAGGGACACTAAAATTCCCACAAAATCCGATCTTTATGAAAGCTGTAGGCTCTCTGTCAGCTGAGGCCAAGCTGTTTTATTTACAATGAGTTCTATGGGACTTTTTTCTGGGTAGCCCTCGTGAATTTAGTCTGCAGTACCACGGGCGCCCCCTGTGCCCATAGGTGGGGCAGCTATAAGCTAGTAATACCCTATCCAGTTATTATTATAGATCCATGGGCGCGCTCCCAGCCAAGGACGTGCAGAGACAGAGTCACTCTGCCCGCCTGCCGTGTTGCGCATCGTTCTCTGGCTTCACAAGATGCTGCTATACGTCCGGTCCTCACCGCCGGGGGGCCACCACTAGAATACAGACTCGCGGCAGTCAAACGTTCCCAGACACTAGGCTTCCCCTCTGTGAGCAGCTAACCATGCTAGAGTACTAAAAGTTACTTACACACAGGGACAGAGAAACTCTGCCCGACTGCCGCGATGCGCAACCTACTCTAGCTTCCCGTGGTTGCTGCGTCAGTGTCTTGCTCTCTGTGCAGCCGTTGATGCCCGTCTTGGCCCGACTCCTCTCTCGGGGATGCTGCTGGTTCCGTGTTTGCCTGACTTTTCCCGTGCTCGTCCGCCTCTTGCTCTTGCTCGCTCTTCTCTCTGCTCTCAGGTGTCTCCCCAGCACATAAAAACATCCACCATGCTCATTGGTGAAATCAATTGGAGTTAAAAACAGGAAATAAAATGCGAAACTTGCACAGAATAAAATCACTACAAAATAAAAGCACACAGTAAAACTAAAAACACAGCAATTCAAAAAGTGCAAGTACCTAATACAGTCTGTTACACAAACATGAAAGTGTTTCTCTTGTCCTGCTGAAGTAGAACCACTGCGGTCCATTGTGTGACCTTGATTCACATTGAGTCTGTGTCCAACATTGTTTACTTATCCTCCTTGTGAAAATAAAAAGACAACAAACGAAATGCAGTGAAAAGTCATTCAGTCATTTATTGGTCTCTGATCAACATTACAAACACATGGCCGTGTCATCGCGGGCCCATTTACACAAGGTTAGGGGGAGTGGCAGTGTCATATGACTGGGCAGGAGCCGATTGCTTTACAGTGTCCACTGTGTCTTTTCAAGAGCAAACTAGAAGAATAAATAGAAGCATAATCATAATAACTGTAATCATAAATATTTCTGTATGCATTTGTTTAGACTCTGTAATTATAATAAATATACATGCACTGTCTTTTTTTCTCATCTTTTGAAAACATGCAAGGTATTAAGGATGCTACACTTAGCATTAAAACTAAACTCAACAAATCTGGACAGGGAGTAAAACAGCTGTACAACCCTCTACTACCGATACAGCAATCCTGTTTCACCTCACGTTTTTAAAATACATAAATAATGTATTTTTCAAAAGGTACAAGAAGTTACATACACAACAGTGGCTCGGCCAGCCGTTATAAAACCTCTTTTTTATGCTGTGTACAAAGAGTCAGTGTGGTCCCTGTAGTTTTGGTCAATTAGTGAGGAAGGGATATGAAGGCTTTTAAAATAACACAATTACAACCAATTATAACATTAGATAAGTAAGTGAGGACCAACTGATTGTGTGTGGCTGGCCAAGGCAACACAACAGAAAATCAATAATCTTTTAATACATACATATATAAACAACATGTTACATCAATACACCGTTTTAATTGATCAGAAGAACAGTTCTCTTTGGATTTCCACTTATCCATTACAGATGTTTGCCTAACCATAAGCCATACACATCCCTTATGTGTTCTACAGAGGCAGCAGTCTGTAGAGATACTATTTTGTGGGGAGGGGGGAAACCGGAGAGCCTGGAGGAAACCCACCCACAGAAACATATTCAACACAGAAGGAGTGAATGAACCGGCAACTTGTCTTTACCCGCTCAGAAACATGAAGAGAACTATGTAGGTTTATCAAAATAAAGCAGCACGGATATTTTGGTTGTAATGTTATAAAGCAGTTTGTGTGGGTGAACTGTTTGAACCAGGAACTTTTATGGAACTAAATTCATTTTCTCATAGCTGTTATGGCTGAAGTTTTGGTGAAAACTACAAAAAAGCAATTTAAAATTGAGGACAAACTAATGACGTCTGCCTTCGCCCTGAGCAGTGTACAGTTCAGTACCTTAACTGGATAAGCAGCAGCATGTGGAGGAGGATGAGCTATAGCTGTCAGTGATCACCACTTTACAAACACTCACCTTTCAGACCACAAAAGTGTGTCATGGCCATAAGCTGGGGTCACGGGACCTCAGCTTTAACTCAATAAAAACAAAAATAATGCGGTGAATAAGTAAATGGCAGCAGCTGTCGAAGTGACTGTGATCACAAGTAGCAGGACCAGTAGATGACGTTGAAGAAGAGGAAGGAGAAGGGGAAAAGCGCACGTGCGTACAGGTCTACCCTCTTGGCGGCGGAGGGGATGATCGCTTTGGGGGGTGGCGGTCTCTTGCCCCCCTTGGCATGCAACTTGCCATGAATTCCGCTGATATCGATTGGTTTCCCGTAGCAGTCAAAGTTGGAGAGCTCAAAGTCCCGCGGCAGAGAGCCCACAATACTGAAGTCGTTGGTGCGCAGGTCCGACTTAGAGGTGCACACTTTCTTACAACGGGTCTCTGCCACCTGAAACCCACAAACACAGATTATTTTTTGAAATCAGAGATCATTAACTGATGGGATTAGATTCCTCAAGACACCATATTATTATTCTTTCTTTCTATAAGCCAACTTCATGCATACGTTTGTGAATATTGTTATCACTTCTTGACCCCTTTTATGCGAACAAAAAAATAGACCATAGTTCATATGTGCTGACAGAGTGGAACTTGTTGACAGTTCTGGATTCATATGGATTGGACATAGAATCTGAATTTGACACTTATAATGTATACATTTTCACCCATGTAGGCATGACTCAAAGTGGTTCTGATATACATTGGTTCACTAGCACAGTCACACACTGTGATAACACAAAAAACATATGTATGTTTTTTTTTTTATGCCTCAGGTTTAGTTCATTAACTTGAACACTTCCCTGGCGACCACCGACAACACTAATCATTGTCTGTGACAAACACTTGTTATTCTACTTATCAATTTCTCATTAATTTGAGCTTTTGACAGAAAGCCAGTCCTCGGCAGAATATACAAGCTGTAACCATGACTACTGGGTTTAATTAAGTTCAATGTCAGAATCTGATGTCAGACCCCGGCATCCTCCTAGTTTAACTTAATTAAACTTAATTGAGTTGAGCTGTGGGGGTGCCAGGTAGAGCAGAACTGGCGCCAGATATTGCATTTGTATTTACAGGCAGAGTGGATGATTGAAGGGAAGAGATGCTTTGCATTTAGATGACAGGCTCACTGTTGGGGAGGTTGAGGGAGATTTAAGACTGTGTGAGAATGCATCAAAATGAGGAACACATATATTTAGGTTCAGAATGACTAACTGGAAGAGTTTCAGCATCAAAACCAAATATTGGGGAACATTATTAATTCATTATTAAACCAATGAATTTAAGACGTTTTATCTTAACTTGGTCTCACAATCTATCTTGGTCTATCTAGGTAACACAATTGTAACCAAACCATTTATTTTATTTGTTTAACTTGAGCTATAGTTTTAGCCCTAGATTCCATTTAGAAAGTCTCAGCATTTCCTGTGACTTTACAGTTGTTAAAGTATTACACAACCCCGAAGCTCCTCCCACTGCTCCGCCCCTTCACTCACATGCAGTGTGCTGACGTGCAGCGGTGTGCCTCCGGTCCCGTTCACCGTGTTGTTCCTTGGGCCTTGGCTCCTCCCCAGTGCCTTTTCCTTGGCTGCTATCTTGGCCTTTTCTGCCTCAATGCGCTTAGGGCTGTTGAGCATCACTTGCACCACGGCGTACTCCACCAGCGACGCAAAGCCAAACAGCAGGCATGCGATGAGCCAGATGTCGATGGCCTTCACATATGACACTTTGGGAAGCTCCGAGGCCAGAGACGTGCACTCAGACGACAGGGAAAGCACAGAGAGGATGCCTGCCAGAGGGATCAGAGCTTTAGTAAGGTGCTATCATAGAGTTTATAGTTCACAAGGAAATATAGTGAGTGTGTGTTTGAAATTCTGTATTGCCCCTGCTACCCTCAGGTCAAAATGACTCGCCACAGTGATTAAAGGTAGATCATAAATTAAGATCTAAATGGGTCTAAATAACCCAGGGCTGGTAAAGTTAGGAACATTCATAAAAATTGAGCAACATTTTTTATTTATTTAGGGTTTTTTCAACCACTGTAGCGGGTCAAATTGACCCAAGGATAGCACAACCTCTTATCTGCCCCTACTGCTAATTACTTATATATTAGCTGCACTTTGTGACAAGTTATTGTTATCTTTCCTTTTGTTTTATTTAGCTGACACACAAGACATTACATTTTGTGGTGTTTTCTGTTTAATGTGAAAAGACCAAAGACGTAGAATATAATCAAATATGGAGGAGCATCGTTCTGAATGGAAAGTGTTTGTCTTCCACACGTTAAGTCCCACACAGAGCCACCGCAATGGGGTAGACATACTCTGCATCTGCAATTGCAGAGGGTCTCAAGAGGCTTCCAAGGAGGGCCTCGCCAAACTAACTGCTGGGTTGCAATCATGTGATCCGAAGGTCTATTAATTAGACAGGGCAACATGGCAAAACAAGAATTTTTTCCTTTTATTGTCATTGCCGTGATTTGTTGAGAGGTAAAATTTAAATAAGTTCAGACTTAAGGGGGGGCTGCAACAGACGCAGCCAAACATTGAGGCACAGAGCTCAGATACTACTTTAGAATTGACTTTGGTCCTAACAGTCCCATTGGAAATAATGAAAAAAAATCACACTTTTAACATAATGGTTAGATTATTACGAGATTCTATGTTAGAATAAAATAGAATCTACTAACATGCCATCGCACACTGTTTGAAAAACGCACCGACATTCTACAGTGTGCAGAGAAAGAGATCGATGACATGCACACTCACAAACCCACCAATCGCCCTATCGTCATCACCAGCCTCGGTTTTAAAAAAACAGCAAAGAGAATAATAATATTGCACTATACTTGTATCGCTTTACTCATTCACTCCACAAACCAAATATAAGCAGTTTTTTTTATCATACCCTCTATGACGGTAAATTATCAATAAAATGGAAAATGTAATATTCATGGCCAATGCGGCTGCAGGTTTTACCTCCAACCTGAGCTGCTCAGGTTGTGCTCCTGCTCAGCTTGAACTAAACTCTGGCCCCCAATCTTTGTGATAGCCTGTTTTAATGACATGCAACCTGCTTGGATATGTGGTCAGATATGAGCCATCATGACCTCAGAATGAATGGGAGAATGATATTAAACAGAGCTGATGTGACTTACCCTTTTGAGCATTCAGGAGGCTTCAGTGGAGCAGGGGCTGATGGACACTGGACACAGGATGGACACATGATGGACACAGGGTGGACAGGGCGGTGAAGGAGTGAGGAGAGAGAATGAATGATGCTCAGGACACTGTGTGGACGAGACAAATGGGGGAACAGCAGTAAACCATACTTTCTCATTGAGAAATACCTGCTTTTTTCCTGCGAAAGTTTAAAGTTGGCATATTGTGCAAGACTTTCAATTGACTCTTGGCTTTTTCTTACAGGTTGCTGAGAAGTGATGGTGCTATCTGTGTCAGCAAAGTTCTTTTATCAGATTTCAGAATAAGTCAGGGAATAAATTTAGGGAACAAACCCAACACAGAGCATACTGTGTATGTTCTATATATGTGTATATGGTGCTGCTATGGGTGAGTGGGTGGTGTTTGAGCATACCCAGGGGCACCCGGGCTGCACTGGCGTCAGGGTTGATCCAGAAGGAGAGCCAGGACAGCACAACGATGAGCAGAGTGGGAGCGTACACTCCCATCATGTAGAAGCCCACCTGCCGCCTGAGTGTGAAGGTCACCTCCACACATGTGTAGTAACCTACACGGCAACACAGAATTGTAAATGTTAATGTAAATGTAATGTCCCTCCAATGTGTTCTGGGTCTTCCCCTGGTCTTCTTCCGGTGGGACATGCCTGGGAAGCGTCTAGGAGACATCCGGAACAGACGGCATGTGCTTCTCCACATGTATATAAGCATGTGGAGAAGCAGTGGCTCTACTCTGAGTTCCGCCCAGCCACTGGCCTGGAGGAAACTCATTTCTACCGCTAGTTTTCGCCGTTATCAATCTTCCAGATGCTGCCCTTTCACCTTAAAAGATATATTATTAATAACTTGTCATCACAAAAAATCCTCCCTGAAATTCTCTGTTGCTCTGGTGAGGTATGGCACCATTGAATATACAAATAAAAATACAAATCATGGTATTGATGGTACTGTGTGTGTGTTTGATGGTGTAGTGGCTCAAAGGACTGTTGAAGGAGCTGTTGTGAGTGTTGGCCTCTGTCTCTGTAGTATAAAACCATGCCGTTGTAACAACAAAAATGATAAACATAAACATGATGATTGTGACGAGAACGAGGATAGACTGTAATTATATTATACAATATAATTTATGATTGTCATTGTTGTTGAAATAGTTGTTACTGACCAGGCAGCTGAAATGAATGAATGTGTATATAGATGGGGTGGGAGTTCATAAGTCTTAATTCTCCCCCCTCCATTTCAGGTCTGTGTTCTATATTCTTTCTGTGTTTTAACAGTTGATTCTCTGAACTGTGTTAGTAATTTCAATGGTTTTGTTAAGTCCTCTGAGATGACTTCTGTTGTGATTTAGGGCTATACAAGAATACATTGTATTGTATTGTTATTGTTTTGTTGTGATTCTGACCGGTGCCTGAGTAGAACTTGGTGCAGTTTCCATAGTCGATGTCCTCCTGTCGGATGTCGAACTGCGGCAGCGCAATGGCATCCATCTGCACCGGGTCTCCGGTCTGCCACATGAACTGCAGGTCGTCTGTGGTATAGCCAACTGCACACATCATGGTTGAAAAAAATATATAGATAGCTGTCCCATTCACAATATAAATATATACAGTATATACATACATACATACATACATACATACATACATACATACATACATACATACATACATACATACATACATACATACATACATACATACATACATACATACATACATACATACATACATACATACATACATACATACATACATACATACATACATACATACCAGTGCCTTGCGAAAGTATTGAACTTTTCAACATTTCGCCACATTTCAGGCTTCAAACATAAAGATATAAAAATTAAATTTTTGTGAAGAATCAACAAGTGGGACACAATCGTGAAGTGGAACAACATTTATTGGATAATTCAAACTTTTTTAACAAATAAAAAACTGAAAAGTGGGGCGTGTAATATTATTCGGCCCCTTTACTTTCAGTGCAGCAAACTCACTCCAGAAGTTCAGTGAGGATCTTTGAATGATCCAATGTTGTCCTAAATGACTGATGATGATAAATAGAATGCACCTGTGTGTAATCAAGTCTCCGTATAAATGCACCTGCTCTTTGATAGTCTCAGGGTTCTGTTTAAAGCGCAGAGAGAACCATGAAGACAAAGGAACACACCAGGCAGGTTCGAGATACTGTTGTGGAGAAGTTTAAAGCCGGATTTGGATACAAAAAGATTTCCCAAGCTTTAAACATCTCAAGGAGCACTGTGCAAGCAATTATATTGAAATGGAAGGAGTATCAGACCACTGCAAATCTACCAAGACCCGGCCGTCCCTCCAAACTTTCATCTCAAACAAGGAGAAGACTGATCAGAGATGCAACCAAGAGGCCCATGATCACTCTGGATGAACTGCAGATAACTACAGCTGAGGTGGGAGAGTCTGTCCATAGGACAACAATCAGTCGTGCACTGCACAAATCTGGCCTTTATGGAAGAGTGGCAAGAAGAAAGCCATTTCTCAAAGATATCCATAAAAAGTCTCGTTTAAAGTTTGCCACAAGCCACCTGGGAGACACACCAAACATGTGGAAGAAGGTGCTCTGGTCAGATGAAACCAAAATCGAACTTTTTGGCCACAATGCAAAACGATATGTTTGTCGTAAAAGCAACACAGCTCATCACCCTGAACACACCATCCCCACTGTCAAACATGGTGGTGGCAGCATCATGGTTTGGGCCTGCTTTTCTTCAGCAGGGACAGGGAAGATGGATGGAGCCAAATACAGGACCATTCTGGAAGAAAACCTGTTGGAGTCTGCAAAAGACCTGAGACTGGGACAGAGATTTATCTTCCAACAGGACAATGATCCAAAACATAAAGCCAAATCCACAATGGAATGGTTCACAAATAGACGTATCCAGGTGTTAGAATGGCCAAGTCAAAGTCCAGACCTGAATCCAATCGAGAATCTGTATGAACGGAAACAGAAAAATAATGTATATGTATAATGTATACTGTACTCTCCGATTAACATTTAATTGCGTCGATTGATTGGCATTTGCGTTTATTGAGCGGCCGGAACTACTTCCGGGTTTTTCACAATCGCTTTTTGACGCAGAGAAATTGTATTTTTGTCATGAAGACAAGACCAGAAAATTCTGAAAATCTCCGTGCACGTTTGTGAAGAATGTATATGTATACAGTATTCTCCGATTAACATTTAAGTGTGTTTATTGAGCGTGGCTAGCTCCGGAGTGGCCGGAACTACTTGCGGAGTTATCCATGCATCTGAAAGACAAGCAGAGAGTGCGTTGCCATGGGCAGCGGTCATTATTGTTTTGAGAGGTCCGTTATAGAAAATAATGACCGGTAGAACGTTTTGAAATTACATTCAAATCAATGGAGCATTCTACTGCTGCTGTGAGGAGCCGTATAATAAATCAATGTAACGTTCAATGATATCTCATTGAATTGTGTTGAAAATGTTTCAGCCTAAGCTTCAAATGATAAAATCCTTTTAAAATGATGCACTGGATTGGTTCTGCGTATTTTAATTGAGCATTGCTTCTTAGTTGTCGCGATAGGCGATCTATTTATTATGAATAGGTTGCCGATCAAAATGTATGTTTAACTTCAGCTAATTATTCTTACATGAGTCAAATTATGTCAAAAATACTTCATGTGTGGAGATTGGATGTGAGCATACAAGGAAGTTCAGTCAGTTTTTGAGCACACTTAACTTCAGAATTCTTAAATTTAGAACTAACCCCAGCTGGACAAAGCTGTGTGAGTTAGGGTTAAGAGAAAAACCACCAGTTACTCACAGTTATAAATGTGTTTAATGAGTGGTGATTAGCTGTAAGGACGTTCTATCATCTGTGTGGAGTAAATGGATAAATACACAGTATATTTTGTTAGACTCTGGTCTGTGAAACAGTGCAAAATGAATATTAGTGACTATAAACTAGTTAAAGAATTTAAGATATTCGACTAGCATCTGCTGTCAAAAAGCTAGCGTTAGCTTGAACACAACCTTAGCTTACCGTTAACTTTTGATTAGTGGATACATTTAACTTAGCTAACTTTACTACGTGCTAACAGCAGATACAAAACACAAAGACACACTATATCCCTATTTAATTTCATAACACAGCTGGGGATAATATAAATGTTCTTTGACGATGTACCCACTGTTAAATTCGCGGAAAGTGCCGTTAGCTCCGAGTGTCAGTTTGCAGCGCGAGGGAGCTGCAGAGGTCGTAGCGTCCGCTCTAGGTCTGATTCTGGGGCGGATGTGGTGGATCGAAGGCGGATCCGCCGCAGAGTCTGTTGCTATCTGGGTAATTACTATTTTGTGCGCACGTTGTAGCTATATTGTGGCCACAAATTAGTATTTCGTGCGCACGTTGTAGATAAATAGAGGCCACAAATTAGTATTTCGTGCTCACGTTATAGCTATATTGTGGCCACAATATATTTTTTTGACCATGTCATCAGAGGGGCTCCGGAGTTTGCTGATGAGAGAGGAACTTCCATGGATCTATAATAATAATCAGTAAAATGGAGTTGAACACAGGAGATGCAGAGTCCACTGTGTTCTAACTATTCATGACTGATGATTAATTAAAACATGAAAATATTATATACAAGTTTGTTGTCGTTCATATTGTTATGATCAGTGAACCAGGAGGTGATGGAGGTGAAGCTGGAGAAATGATGGCGTGGGATTTTGTTGAAGTCAAAAAGTTAATTTCACCAGAAGTCTCTGAAAAAGAAGAACACAAACATCATACATTAAAACAGACAGCCTACATTTAGGATTCTTTTCACACTTCATATTCAATTGATACTATTTATTAGGGGCATACATATTGCAATAAACTTGTTAAAAATACAGAAATCCTTCCTGTATATAATATTAGAAGTACACGCTTTCACAGAAGGAAAAACAGACGTTCTGAGGAGTAACAGAAGAATAATATAATGGAAATATACACACAAATAACCAACTTAGAGACTAACCACTTTAAACTTGTCTTTGTGGAAGAGAGACTGTCATCTGCAACTGTCTTATTAATGACAAAAGAAACATCTGTATAATGTGTTTTTATCATTTTATTTTTTTATTATACATATTTATTAAACTAATGTATGAAAAGTGCTTAATAATTAGCCTTGGCTGATTCAATAATTTCATATATGTCTAATATATACAGTAAATGGAAATAAATATACAGTTTTCCCAATCTCAGTATGGAATTATGATATGAAAATGATATACACAATCTATTTTATATTAATACAGAAAACACATGTTAGCATACTATAGGTGCTGTCTCCATGGACTGCTGAGTGATTTTCCATTAAAGCGTGACTGTTTCCTCTGTGTAGCTCTAATAATTAATCTGTGGGTTTGTTTCTCCCTAAAGATAAAACACAACCTGATTTTTCTTGTTCAAAAACTGAATCTGAATGAACTGGTTAGCCTCGTAGCATTAGCATTAGATTTTCGGGGACAACTGAGCTTAATCACGGCAGATAACAAGGTTAAAATCATACATCTGTGGCAGATCTAACTTATACAGTACCTGTGTTTTATCGTTATGTTCATAACTCAACAGTAAAGTAAAGCAGCACTTACCATAGACATAACTCTACAGTAAAGTATAGGAGCACTTACCATAGGCACATGTTTGCTCCAGGTCCGAGGTCCGTGAGTTGGCCGTGACTCGAGAAAAATAAGGCAGCTAAGCATACTTCAGATGTATCCTTCAAATCTGCTCCAAAAGTGGCCGTTTCCATGGAGACGAATGCATGATGCCTACGCTGCCTAGCTCGCCACATTGAATTTGGACACCCCTGTAATGCCCGGCGCATGCGGAAGTGACGTCACGATGCCTACGAACCATCAACGAACCACCAACCTCAGTGTAGCGGGTGTCGCTTCAGAACGCAGTCTTGTTTACATGTCACCTCCACGCGACTGTCAAGTTCCCGAGACGTTTGGAGAGATCAGGTCATTTATCAAACTAAAGTATTCTTTCCTTGGCAGTCCGGTGAATGACTGAGAGTTGAGGAGCACTGTCAAAGACACATATTTTCTATCAAAGGCTTTCGTAGTACCTTGAACTGCAATATAAGATCTCAATGCTAGATGGCACTAAAAATTACACAGTGTACCTTTAATAATTACTTATATAATGAAAACTATGTGGGCGGTATTTTCTACAGGCAGTTGGCTGTAATTGAATTGCCTCATGTTGAACTGTTGTTGGATGTGCGGCGGCAGCAGAGGGCTATCAGCCTGTGCATCTGTCCTGCACTGCATGGAGATGGACATCTCCTTTGTAAACAGAAGACGTAATAAACACAGTCAAGCTCAATTTTCTCTCATTTCCACAATGCCCTTAAGTTATGATGATTTATTCTTCCTCTCTGGCCCCCCGCATAAATTGAACTGTACTAGCAAAGCAAAAAGCCTTTGTTTAGCCTGAGCAGCTAAACGTGAATAAAGCACCGGCACATTCCCAACTTATGCATACGCCTCGTAAATCACACGTACAGCTCTCCAGTTGCATCTTGCAGCGCTGCGTGTCCATTGGGAAGAGCGTGAGGTCCAGCGGGCAGGACAGGGTGACGGACAGCCTGCCAAAGGAACAACAGATTGTATGAGGTGAGGCAGAAGTGTGCTATACTGACATTTAAGCATGGTGAGGAGCTAGGGGCGTGGAAATAAAACACGGTACCCGACACTGCCATAGAGACCATAACATATTATATTCTATATTGACAATCTGTGACACCGGAAGCTCAACATCATATGATTATTGCAGGGTAATCCCGCTCTTTTCACAAACCGATTTGAACCACTATGGTGCATTATCCGATTTAACAGAGAGGACTTTAATTTGTCATTTATCAGGTTTTATCATAATCATGATGATTTGTGATGATTCCTCATGAGCTAAATCCAACATTAGTGTAAAACCTACAGCAGTAATGAACTCATCATCATTCGTTCTGTAGTGACTAGTGATGGTGGTGATGGTGGGAGTGGCCGATGGCACAGACTGCAGCCTTGGTTCCGTCCCCTCTGAGTGAGGAGTGAATGAACAGGGACTTCAGTGTCGAGCTCTAAGGTAGTGTAGTTTGCACTCTCTGCTTTTCTGGAGACAGATGTGGATCCTTAATATATTTTACATATGTGGGGGTCTACATAATTCATCTTTAGCTAAGGTGAAAAAATATGAAGAATCAAAATCATTTTTATTGCCATTTTAGTAACAGGAAGTCAGAGACTAGGAAATTGCTTTGGCTCGGTGCAACAGTCAAAGAAGAGAGGTAAAGAATAGAGAAAGGCATAATAAAAATCAGCATACACTTCTAAGGGGTAAAAATTTAAATACATCTATTACAATTACAATTACTATAAACAATATGGTGCACATGGTGCACAAAATAGGTAGCCTGACTCTCGCCAGACCCATGTAGTTCGCTGCACTTCACACATGAGTCTGGTACTGAGCCATAGTGGTTGGATTTCAGAAGGCAGGGCCTTGTAAAAAAAATCCTTGTATGTGATTGGATAGACCACTTGTCCGTTATCTTGAATGAAGTCTGCTTTCAACCACTAACATTGAAGCACACGGCTCCCATAGGTTGCCAAATCCCAGCAAGATTTTCCAACCCAAAATCCGCGAGAATACCCAAAAAAAATAAAAACAATGATTTTTTGGCTAAAAACGTAATGTAATCAACTTGGTCATTAATCTGTTTATTGTCTTTCTGTTTATTTAATACCTACAAGTCTCTTGGAAAAAAATATGCGGGAACCACCAAACCTGGCCACCCTGCTGCATAGTGTGTGTCGATCGTATTTACTCTTTCAACGAGATTCCTCTCGTTGCTGCATGAGAGAAGCTTGAGAAGGCAGTGCAAACCCCACGTAACACCGGCAATCCTGATTGGTCGATAAAAAAATAATCTGGGGAAGGCGTTCGCTATGGCGTCGATACCAGACCCATGTGGTTCAGCCAAACGCCTCTGGTGGAGCATGGCGGAACTACAAGGGTCTGGCAGAGCCAGGCTACAAACTATGCAGTAAGCAGTGCAATAAGGTGACAGCAGAAAAGTGACTTTTTAAAGGGCAGTAAAGTGACTTTATAAAGGGGGGCAGGCTATGAAGTGTTTAAGAGTCCAACAGCAGAGGGGAAGAAACTGCTCTTATGGCGTGAGGTTCTGGTTCGAATGGACCGTAGCCTCCTGCCTGAGGTGAGAGGTTGAAACAGTCAATGTGCAGGGGGGAGCTATGGGAGGCTGCGGCCTCTCTGCAGATGCACTGTAGTCTCTGCTTTTCCCTGACAGTGGCTCCCGCAAACCACACAGTGATAGAGGAGGTGATGGACTCGATGATGGACGTGTAGAACTGCAAAATATATCTGTGCAGGCAGCTTGGCTTTCCTGAGCTGCATCAGGAAGTACATCCTCCGCTGGGCCTTCTTGATGAGGGAGCTGATGATCGGCTCCCACTTAAGGTCCTGGATGCCCAGGAAACTAAAGGATGCGCTGAGCCTTGCGCACTTCCGTTGATGGCGGGATGTGGACAGAAGCAAGAATGAATGAAGCAAACTCACATTGCAGTGAATGAAAAAATATTCCAGAGAACAGTGCTTGGAGATAACTGTCACATCATTACTCCAGTTTGTGTGAATGTAGAAGCATAGTCTGCCTCCTCTGCTTTTGCCTCCCGAGAGCCCATGATGGCGGTCCGTGCGGAATGGTTGAGCCATGTCTTAATGAAGCAGAGGACAAGGAGAAGTCTCTGTTTCTTGTCATCAGCAGGGAGAGTTTGTCTCTTATCTTGCTGCACAGAGAGCGTACGTTGGAGAGGAATATTCCCGGGAGTGCCGTGCGCGGGCCTCTTCTCAGTTGCACAAGCACCCTGCAGCGCTTTCCTCTCGGTCCATGGGGATGGTAGGTCTGATGTTCAGAAGCTCCTCACGGTTGTAGGAGCAGGCAGAGAAGCTATCAAAGCAGAAAAATGAGAAAAAAAGAACGCATCATCTTGGTCAGCCATGATGAGCTAATGATGAACTAATCACGATATAATGATGCGTTAATTGCTGTTGTAAATTCTATATTAAGATTAAACTTGGGCCTGCTCTTATGCCGCTTTTCCACAGTAACGGTATGGCGCGGTTATTTTGCATTTCCACTAGGGTTGGGCTTGGAATCGGGGGTACTTTTTTTGTACCACATCGACAGTGGTTCCATGTGAGCCGAAGCGATACCATGACGTGACGTCAGCCGACTGCCTTGCACTGATTGGTCGAGTGTAGTCACTGGAAGCGACGTCCGACCCTATAATAAAAAAAACTCAACCCTGCCATCTTTAAAACAGGCTGCTCTGCTTCAATACGTACTCCGATGGATCTATTTTAATAACATACTCTTCACTCCAGAGAAATGGAATCGCACAGAAAGCCCCAAAAGTCAGCGTCCTGGTCGGTGGACAAGGTCCACACATTACTCTACCCACAACAGAGGGCACACTCTAGACCTGTTAGTTCCTAAGGGGGTGAATAATGTATTTTTTGACATTTAATTCCCTAACAAACCACCAGTGGACTCTGAAACTGTTCGAAGAAGACACATAAATGAAAATACGAGTGAACTATTTATGGGAATGATTAACTTTGAGAATGCATTGCATTCTACTGTAGATGAACTGTTTAACTCTGTCACCTCTAGTGTTTTGAATGTTCTGGATACCGCTGCCCCTGTGAAGGTTAAAATTGTGAAAAAAATAAGCAGAAGGCACCGTGGGCTAAAGCAGACTGGGTCAGGGCACAGAAGGGAAAGTGCCGGAGGGCCGAGCGGAAGTGGCGCAAGTCCAACCTCCAGGTTGATTACGCGATCTTCAAAGATAACTTGTGCGAGTTTAACCGGGTGCACGTAGTACGAGAGAAAGGTATTTTTCTGAAATGATTGAAGGCTGCAGTAACAATCTGCAAAAAACGGCATTGTCTCCAATCCACAGATAACGATCCAACAGCCAGAAAGGCTCTATGAGCTAGCTCACTTTGCACCTGCAAAGCTTGAAAATTGAACGTAATAAATATGCCTGTTCCTATTTGTGAAAAATGTAAATAAAACGAAGCAATGATTTAAAAGCAGATGACGGACAAGGGAAGAAATGGAACATAATATCCAAGCAGTAAGCTGTGTTTGTGAAATATACTTTTTATGAGCTGCATATGGAACATCATCCAGGGACCGGTGCTACCCTCTCTCATAAATCTCACAATTTCTCACTAAATTACATTCTGACACATTTTGTTTGGAGTCTAGTCGAAGTGTGACTCAATATAACAGAGCAAACATACTCTTCTCCCAGGCCCAGGTCTGTCTCTCCAGACAAAGACAAAGGGGAACAAGCTGTTATGATGAGTTGTTTGAGGTCATTCCGGTCCCGAAACAGGATCTTTGGCATGTCATCTTTTAGAATGAAAACTCATTTAATATGGAAAATGCATGGATAAACATGTATAACGGAAATCTACTTGTGGTGGTAGATTCAGAAAACTACAACTGTCGTGACATAGGCCCAGTTTTAGTCAAGTAAAACATAAATCAAAAAGAAAGGGTGTCAAACCAGTGTGGCAGCAAGTTTTGATTCTAACCAGACAGGAACACCCCAGACTCCACCCATTTCCTCAAGTGAGTCAAGTCCCAACCGAGCCCCGGCGATCCAAGATGGCGGCCTATTCAAATTAAAGCGCATGGGACCGAGAGATTAGCAGAACTCGGCCATATTTGGGCATAGTCTGGTCCTCCTCGGTTCTGCGCAGTGGATGAGCTCCCATGATGCGTTGAGCCAAATACATGTGTGTGGCTCTCATGCACGTGCACAGAGGGGCTCGGCCGCGCTGTGACCAATCAGAGCTGCTGATCTGATTGGTCACAGCACGGGAAAAAAAGGGCAGAGTTTGTTGCATTAAAGTGTGGATTTAAAGAAAACTGAAGGATTTAAGAAGAAAAAAAGTTCAGGATGACAAGGGACACTAAAATCCTAACAAAATACAATCTTTATGAAAGCTGTAGGTTCTCTGTCAGCTGAGGTCGAGCTGTTTTAGTTTACATTGAGTTCTATGGGAAACATTTCCGGGTAGCCCCTGTAAGTTTAGTCTGCAGTACCACGGGCGCCCCCTGTCCCCATGGGTGGGACAGCTACTGTATGAGCTAGTATTACCCTATCCCCAACCTGACCACTTTACAAAATGGGCGGAGTCTGATGTGCTCCCGAGTGGTTGGAATTAAAAGCTGCAGCCCTTTTTCTTGCAATAATTGTCTTTGTATTTGATGACATCACAGGTATTCCTTCATAGAACTCACTCCTTTACCATTACTTAACTGATGTTAAACTTATATGAATAATAACCTCATGCTGATCAGCACGTCTCCGTTCCTGAAGATGAACAGCAGAATGTTGTCCTGCGTCACATCATGGAAATTGGCGCTCTTCTCGTTGGCGAAGAACAGGTCCGGTTTCCACAGACACTTGAACATGCCCGGGTCCACTGTCAGAGACTCGGACTTGAACTCTGTGGGGAGCTTCAGGCGTGGGTCGTTCCAGCGTTGCCTCAGGAAGATATTCACACGGTAGTCCTGGAACACAACATAAAAGACCATAGGGATTTGGCAATGTACATCCATGCTTGCGAACTAGTAGCAGCTCTCCACACCCTCCAGACCCTATATGTCTGCAAAATTGAGGAGCAGTTGTGTACACTCATAAGAATACAATACTGTTAATGTGTTTTATCGTTTTCCATTGCCTTTACATTATACAAAGACAGACCATGTTCTAACCTTTCCAGTAGGGACTTTGCTCTGTGCCGGCTGTGGTATTATTTTGGAGGAACTCACACTGATTCTGTAACAATGAGTCTGAATGCAGAGGGTGAAGACGGATGAGATGTTAAACACAGGAGCTGGACCCGACCAGACTCAGACCAGGACCAGGCCTGCACATCCTGATCAGCCACATGGTCCAGGCTGCAATGGTAAGACTAGGACTGACATTTTTTGCCACAATATTGAATTGCAATGTTAAGATGATATTTGCAGAAGTTACATTGGTTTTGACGGACCAAACAGTCAACTGGGAAAAAAAGAGAAAACCCTCAACGCAGGAAACTATGTTTGGCTTTTAATACACAGAAGAATTTTCTGTTTGGTTTCATAGCATAATGAGTTGGAAGACAGCTCTTTCAGAGAGAAGGGATGAGGGGATGTGTTGCGTAAGAAGTTCCTTATTAGCATTAATGGGTGGGGTTAAAAATAACTACAGTTTTACAACAATAACTTGTATACATTGATGAGAAGAGCATAAAACCCAACAGTTATTCTCACGAGCCCCTGGACTGCTCGCACCTGCTTCAGACTTGGCGCGGCTGTGTTCCGAGGCCGCAGTAAATCTCCCACGGGTGCCGTTTCTCTTGCCACTGTTGGAAAGGCGAGTGGTGCTTTGGAACAAGGAGGTGATTTCTGAGCTGCTCCTCCAGTGACAGCTCCTTCTGTTACCTTGATGCAAACACTGGCGAATCCCCACACCTCTCAAATCTCTGCCTTCGAGACAGAGGAAGTGCCACATATGTCTTCCCCTTGGCCACGGACCAAGCTGCTAACAGGGCAGATTTCAGGCTGGTAGAAATCTTTGCAGAGACTCAGACCACTGAGACAATTCTATTGCATCCTCCAGGCATAAAAACATTTGTCCACTCAGACGAACTCTGGAAAAGCCTACTAAATGTATTCTTGTTTCTTGGAGCGTAATGTACGAAAATTAGCTTGAGTTACAGATACTGCTACCAATTAGAGCTGACTGGAAGTCAAGATATTAATAGTAATAACAGACCAATAACGTCCCAAAGACAAAATTGAAATACTTAAACGTGCCAAACATACCCACCCAACGTCACAGACTGTCTTGAAATATTAATGGGGTTTCCCACAATCCAGGGTTTCTGTTATCCCTACGGAAATGTAAAACATTAATATAACTATAGTATAGCATTTTCATGTATGTGCAAGGCTGGACTGGGGTGGTAGGGTGTTGGTGGGCTGATGCCCATATTTGGGCCGGTCTGCCTACTTGTTCTTGTTTTTATTGAAAAGCAACCGGTTGATTTTTGTGAAGGACATCGGGCTTGCCCAATGAAATATCTCAGCTTCGCTGGCCAGCCCCCACTACTGACCAAAGCTACGGCTCGCACACATCTCAAGCGCAGCGAGTGACAATAGCCTCTCCTCAGCCGTCACGTGGCTGTGTACCCACCAGCAGAACATGCATACTCTACTTGTGTAATCTATAGAGAAGTGTAGAGGACAGTATGGCCAGAGAACTGATGTAGATCTGAGTTTGTCCTCATGGTCTCTGTCAGCTGTTCTAGTCAGACGCGAGACTTTATGAAAGAATAAACGATGTCCAGAATCACTGTCAAACCTGCCAATTCTCCTGCAAATGTTAAGATACAAGTGCTGGTTGTGTGTGGAGCTGATCTAGAGCCAAGGGCCGCTAGCAAAAACAGGTTTGTGTTTTGACTGGATGCTGCGTCGCTGCGCGAGTAAAAATATGCTCTATTTTGGGCTGATGAGCGCAGCTTGGTGCGTAGTGCTGCTAGCCATCGCGCTCATCTGCTTGTGTGGTGTGTACGGCTCTCGCTGATAACATGGCCGTGTATTTCAAATTAGCCCAGCGCACCGCTGTAAAAGTTCCTCCGCTTCACATGACGCCTACGGTGTGTACGAGGCGTTTTTTGGTCCCAGTCCAGCCCTGTGTATGTGTCAGCCATGGATACAAGGTCAGCAGGTCTCTTCCTACATGGGTTATTGTGTAATGTTTGGGAATTGTGTGTGAACAGAACCAAAAGGAACTTGATGTAAATCTAGTAAGCACTGAGGCCTAATCAGTGTGACATGTGTGAAAACCTTGTAGAATATGTCTCATTCTTCTGCACTAGGGTTAGGGTTAATGCTCAGCACAGCCTCATCACTTAACACTAGGACCGCCGTGCTCTAAACATACCTTGCACCGCCCCCTGTGGTCAGTTGACCGCTATGTTTTTTTGCGCTGATAGAGCCTTTTGCCAAATTGATTGTTCACTAAACCAGAACTTGATGTTGCTAGGAAATCGTGATCATAATGAAACTGTGTAAATTATTTGTCTAAATAGTAATAAGTAATTCTAGCCAAAATAAAAGGCTAAGATGACACATTGTGCGTGTATTGATTCAACAAAATTACGATGACTTTTCATGCTAGATTTAATTTGTAACTTTGCAAACACCCAAAAGGTTGGTCACTATATGTTAAATTTGACTCAGTAACAATATGTAAATTCAAACAATATAAATAATAGTTTAGAAAAGCACGGGACTATAATGTCTTTGCGCTGCTATATGCTTCTTACGTCATCTCCAGACTGTTTTCTCTTTCCAGCCGAAATCACCGCGGGAAATATTATCTAGATAATAATAATAGTATTCGTATTGACACAAGATCAGCTAGGCTACCATCGTCAATGTAAAATCTTCGATTTTACACGGGACACGATAGACAAATATATATATATATATATATATATATATATATACACAGTGCCTTGCGAAAGTATTCGGCCCCCTTGAACCTTTCAACTTTTCGCCACATTTCAGGCTTCTAACATAAAGATATAAAAATGTTGTCATGAATTAACAACAAATGGGACACAATCATGAAGTGGAACGAAATTTATTGGATAATTTAAACTTTTTTAAAAAATAAAAAACTGAAAAGTGGGGCGTGCAATATTATTCGGCCCCTTTACTTTCAGTGCAGCAAACTCACTCCAGAAGTTCAGTGAGGATCTTTGAATGATCCAATGTTGTCCTAAATGACTGATGATGATAAATAGAATGCACTTGTGTGTAATCAAGTCTCCGTATAAATGCACCTGCTCTTTGATAGTCTCAGGGTTCTGTTTAAAGCGCAGAGAGAACCATGAAGACAAAGGAACACACCAGGCAGGTCCGAGATACTGTTGTGGAGAAGTTTAAAGCCGGATTTGGAAACAAAGATAGCTGTAGTTATCTGCAGTTCATCCAGAGCGATCATGGGCCTCTTGTCTGCATCTCTGATCAGTCTTCTCCTTGTTTGAGACGAAAGTTTGGAGGGACGGCCGGGTCTTGGTAGATTTGCAGTGGTCTGATACTCCTTCCATTTCAATATAATCGCTTTTACAGTGCTCCTTGAGATGTTTAAAGCTTGGGAAATCTTTTTGTATCCAAATCCGACTTTAAACTTCTCCACAACAGTATCTCGGACCTGCCTGGTGTGTTCCTTTGTCTTCATGGTTCTCTCTGCGCTTTAAACAGAACCCTGAGACTATCAAAGAGCAGGTGCATTTATACGGAGACTTGATTACACACAGGTGCATTCTATTTATCATCATGAGTCATTTAGGACAACATTGGATCATTCAAAGATCCTCACTGAACTTCTGGAGTGAGTTTGCTGCACTGAAAGTAAAAGGGGCCGAATAATATTGCACGCCCCACTTTTCAATTTTTTATTTGTTAAAAAAGTTTAAATTATCCAATAAATTTCGTTCCACTTCACGATTGTGTCCCACTTGTTGTTGCTTCATGACAAAAAATTAAAATTTTATATCTTTATGTTTGAAGCCTGAAATGTGGTGAAATGTTGAAAGGTTCAAGGGGGCCGAATACTTTCGCAAGGCACTGTATTTGTATTTATTTGAGACAAGCAGTGCTCTTTATGATCAGAACAAAATTATAATCATTGCCTTGCTGTGCAGAATAACACACAGAGTTATCTGGATGAAATAAGGATGATATCCTTCTTGATATGATGAGGGCCGCCTCTGCCCCACAGTCCCTCTCCTCCTGCAGTGTCCGCGGGTGACGAGAGGCGCTCCATCCGCGCTCTGCATAGATATGTTCATCTAATTGTTCTATTTTATTGCAATATTGTATTCAGCTTTTTTGCCTTCTTCTATGTGTAAATATAGTAATGGAGCAACAGCGCGCAAACAGACACCTGCGTATGGCTGGCATTACGCACGCTCATGTGCGTTATTGCTTCTGGACTTGATCTTTCTTAAAACAGACACATACAAATACACACAAATAATAATACTAATACCCACACCTCCCTCCCGGGTGCTACATTACTTTTAGATTAATCAGTCCATACTTTGCAAATATGACAAAAGCGGCTTCCAAATCCGTTCAAAATTGTGCAGTTTGTTATTTTGTATATGACGTATCCTTTCAAGATGAAGAGTCTCCGTCAATGAAGATATCCATGCTGAAACTGATGGGACGTCTTTCCCCTTCCACAAAAGTAGGATGAGTCTCTTGGTGCACATAACTCCATATGAGAGAAGGTGGGCTTGGCAGGTTTTCAGTCTGCTGGTCTGTTCCGAAACTCCCATAATGATCACAATAGGATCCGCTTCTAATTGTACATTTAGAACCTTTGAAAAAAAGAAAGAAAATAAAGACGACCAAATTCTGTAGCTTTGGACACATTACAAAACTATGCAACAAGTTTGCCTCCTAGCCTCACATTTATCACAAATGGGTGAAACATCAGGGAAAAT